GACAAGCTGCCTGTGTGAGGGGCACTGCCGTGCCTCAGCGCTATCTATACCCCACAGCCACCTCCCAAAGCAACTGCAGAACTAAGCACTGAGCATCTTGAGAGAGTGGGGCAAAACCAAAACTGTCCATCAGCTGGGCATGGACATAGAACAGAGTAACCCTCAAAGTCACCCCCAGATGGGAACTCCTGCTGCAGCATCCTCCCTGCCATCGCTGCCAGGAGCAGGACAGCAGAGAGCTCGGTCACCCATCACTCCATGCTGTGAGCTGTGCTTCGTTTCCTATTGCATCTCACACAGCCTTGCAGCGTCAGTGCTGCCTGGAGGAACCGCAGGAGCAATCTGCTCGGGGTGACAGACACCCTGGAGATCATTCCGTGTAAGAAGCGATGAGTTTCATGGACTGGCTGCACTAGATTACAAGAGTGTAAACTAAGTAGGGGAATTCTCACACTGTCTCCAAGTACTCCCCTTTATATATAAATTAGCAATCCACAGTTAGTTTGCATACAGGTTAATATGAATTAAAATAAAAACCTCGATAATAAAAATATATAATATACACATTGATCAATAGCAATAAACCGAATGAAAACACTAGAATGTAACAGTGGCTGTAATTTGGCACAAAATAAAAATGCACAGAGGTCTAGCACTGTAAAAATAAAAATTCTTTTTTTTTTTTCCCCCTAAATAAGAGAATATTAATCCTGATTCAAATCCTGACAGGTGGGAATGCAGAGATATAAAAATACTGTACATACAAGATCCCTTTTACAGAGTGAAGCAGACTGCAGCATTTGTAACTTCTGTCTTTCCTCCTCAAGAGGAGAAATTCAATGATGAGACTTCATCTATCCCCTAACAGCTGGTATTTTCCCACCCCCACTAAGTTCAAAACCATGAAGTTTTTTAAAAAAGATGAGATTAACCTGTTGGATCTATCCACGTGACAACAACCGCTTCTCGCTGCAGGAAGCTGTACAGTCCACATTAAGACAGTGTTTCATAGCAAGGTGACTCAGATCAGCCTGCTGAAGACATCGAGTATCCCTGCATGTAAGGCACGATCACTCGGGTTCGCCCAACCTCTCTTCTGCAGACCATTGTGCTTCGGACGGAGGCGAGGAGGTGGCAAGAGCTGTTGCTGGTGAGATGTGCCTACTATGGAGATTAGGAAGTGCCAGGATTTCACGGTGATGAATTTTCTACGTGGCACCTGTTGCCTTGTTAATGCACAGAGTCAGAAAGGGATGCAAGACCTGAATGACCTGGGCAGGGTCCCAGCAAGGGCTCCGACATGCTATTAAATCCAGAGCAAAACCATAGGCAAAGCTACTGAAACTTGGCAAGAGAAAACAAAGAAAAAATAAAGTTACTTAAACATTTTTCTGTCATAGAAAGCAAATATTGCTCCGATGGTTTCTTTTGGAAAGATCAACTTCATTGCGCCTCTTTCCAGGGACACACATGCAAGGTGCTGATTTTGCATCTCACCTACACAAGTTGCATCTTCTTGACTCTCAGCAGAACTGTGGCTGCTGAGCCCCAAGATGAATTGGTTCCTTGTTCATCCACAGTCTTAACTCAACTCTTGTTGACTTCAATGGGACCATGGAATCTCCTTCCAAAAGTGGTTACTAAACATGCAAGTCCAGTTGCAACCTTTGCCTCAGGAAGTTTCTACCCTGCTGGCTGCATGAGGCCCACAAGGTATATTATATGAACAACTGCTCTGTTTATACCCCATTTACTACATGCTTTCCTGAGCTATCTTTCCTAGCATTTCTGTCTCTCTCGACAAGTGTCAGCCCCTTCTAACAAAACCTCAGGGTCCCCCTTTTCAGGGGGGCTATGGAAAAATAAAACAGGAGAAACACTTGCAAGGGCCAGCAAATGAGTAAAGGTAGGGAGTAAGAATAAAAAGGTAAGGACTAAGGGAGGATATAGAGCAAAGCAACCCATAGAGCATTCAGCGCTCCCCGAAGGCATCCAAGGAAGCAGCAGCTGCTCCTGGGATCCTTCTCCTGGGCTCTTGCCTCTTGGTGCCATGGCTGGAGAGCTTGGCTGGTCCGAGGAGGCCATTAAGGAGATCCCGCAGTTCCACAGAGTAGGAAAAAAGGTGTTCTTCAGACTTTACCCAGCTTCCAAATAAAATCAACCAGAGTTTTCTCTCGTATTATTTCCACTCACTCCCACCAAAGTCAACAACTTGGATACTCCCAAGCATCCCTCCTGAATTAATAGGTTCTTAAAATGTCAGCAGGCTTAGGGCCTTCATGACTTTTCTGATTAGAGTAAGACAGAAGTTACATCAGCCAACTGCAGTGCAAGAAAGCCCATCACAGCCAGCCACAGAGGCCCAGAGCTGAACTCGTTGGCGATTGCCTCTTGCCTTGTGCAGATAGTCACCATTTTTCCCCATGCACAGCGAGTACAAAGCACAACCACTTTCTGATTTGGCAGGACTTTTCCCCATCCAGTTTTCACAAGTGCACCAGATGAAACAAGCAGCAGGGCCTGGACTGGGGTGTTTGTAGAAAGTATTAGTTTATAAAACCCCACCAGGCATCCATTTCACAACAATAAATACTCTGATGGCAATGGAGGGGAAAAACCCACAGGAAAAAAAATGGCATTTTCAGCAGTAGAAATTTTGACTGTTACATGAAATACAAAAATAAATTTTTACAAAATAAAATCATTGCAGATTAAGTTGCCACATTGGCCCAAGTTATCAAATAAAAAAGGAAAAAATACGGTCTATGTTGTTCTTTTTCTGAATCCTTTAAAACAATGTTAACGCTTCTGAATGGACAGAGATGGAACTAGAAGAGGGAACAAGGCAAGACCAGTAAAATCTAGCCGCTGGCTGGGATATTTCCTGAGAAGCAGCAGCAAGCAAGAGCTTGCGAGTCACTTAAGGGTTCATGCAGGTGAGCAAGCTCACGGTCTGGAAGCAAGGGTACGTAATTAACAGGATGCTGCCGATGCACAAAGTCTTATGTTACATTTTTAGCTACTGTATGCCTGGAGCAGAGGTCTTCTGGGGGTTAACTGGTTCTTCACAGATAGTGAACTGCTGCCAACATCCCAGTGGGGGTAGGAGATGGAAGTTTCTTGAGTTGTTGGTCAAGGCAAGGCATGGGCTCATGCTGCGGTATTAAACATGCTCTTGTAACTTGTATGAAGAAGGAGTTGCCTTGTCTTCCTAGTGATTTGACCTGACCAAGGACAATAGCCAAGCTTAAAGCCTTACAGCTGCCTTGGGGCTTGAATTGTGCATTAGTGCAAGAGCAGAGAGCCATGATCTCTTCCAATTTCCTAATGGTGCTCCACGCCAGAACATGTGCTCTCCACAAAGCTCTACAGAGCTGTCAGGTTCCTTTCCCACGCAGATTGGTGGCCAGGGCAAGTACAGTCACGGCTCTGCCTCCCCTCCTCAGCAAAGCCAGCAGCAGAATTGCAGCTGCCAGCAGAAGACAAAGAGCCTGGTGGGACAGACTCAGTGCCGGGCAGTAAAGGAAGCTGGGCTGCAGGGGCAACACAGCCAGGCTTGCTGCCATGAACTGGACTGGCAAATGAATAACCACCCCGTACTGGCTGAACAGACTCCAAGCCAGTGTCCAGATGCTCAGCTTTGTTGTTTAAAAATGCACTTGAAAAAAATGGCCAAAAAAAAAAAAGATTAAAAAGAGAAAAGAATTGAAATGAGAGGAGGCCCAGGAAAAAGGCTACTTGCTTGTGCAAGACAAGAATGATTTTCAAAGAGTGGAGGGAAAATAAGCCATAGGGAAAAAAAAAAAAAAAAAAAAAAAATCACTGCATGGGCAAATCTGTACAGACAACTTAAACTTGCAGACCCTGCTATGCCCTAGAGAGCAATAGTTTTATCCTGACTGGAGTCTGCCTCGGTGCTGGACGGAGCAGTGTAGAGGGGAGGCAGTCAGCACAGACATTGTGTGGACTGTTCGGCACACTGTGTCTAGCTCAAAAGTTGCCTGTAACAGTAGATTTTAGATTCAATGCTCAATGCCCATTCGGCCCTCCTTCAGTCCCATGTTTAGAAGACACATGCCGGTTCAGACACAAGTTACTGTACTCAAGTGCATCAGCAACTGAGCTAGGAGTTACAGTAGTTCCTACTTGGCTTCAGTGAAATTCCTTGGCTTCTACCACACCAAAGCTCAAAGCAGGTGACCACAGAGGTCCCTTCAGGCATTTAAATTTGTTTGTATGATTCTTCCCAATCCACAACTCACAGCTTCATCAACTCCCTGGCATGTCTTAAAAGTCAAGCACACAAGGTCTAATTTCTGTTGAAATTTATTTCCTCTTAACTGTTCTATCCTATATCCTGGAGCTAAATGCCTGGTTACATACACTACCCAGATTGGTGGAAACCATAGAAAGAAATACAGCAGTTAAGAAATTTTGTTCTATAGGCAATTTCTTCCTCACCAGTCCCAGGTTCTGGCTTTTGCTGGTGTATGTTATGAAGATCCTCTCTCCTTCCTGCAAGCTAGCATGACTGTCAGGTTGGCTCAGCCATCTTACACAGCACAGGAAGAAACATGCTTCCTCTTATAACTCTCTTTGCTAAGTCATCCTAATATGGAAAGGACTTGTACTTCTGACGTTCTGCTGCATTGCCATAACTCAGCTCATATCTTGGATTTTCCTCCCTGTTGTATGTGCATCTCTATTTGTCTTATTTGACAAAGCTCCAGCCAAAGCTTAAAAATAAAAATAAAAGGAACGCCTCGAAAGGATGTAAGAGGGACTTGTTAAGTCAGCCAGTTGATTCACACAGCTCAGTGGCGGCTAGATGATACTGCACTGCTTAGGTGATCACATATGAGTAAGAAATGGAAATGAACAAGTGTTCCTTATTAATATGATGACACTTAAAGAGGAGATCCTGGGAAAAGAAAGTTGCCTGGCAATTCCAGTAATGTTTGCTACAGAAGAGTCAGTACCAAAGCAAAGGCTAGCATAGTTTACTGCTTCCTACGGGAACCTGAAAAGCAAAACAGAAAGAAAAAAAATCTGTAAGGGTAGATCCTGGTGAAGAAAATACTACCTGCAATCATCTTTTACTTGCCCTCTTGGATGTCTGTGTGACTTCCAGGGCACTGGTAAAGTCAAATGCCAAAATGGGAACTGTAGGTTACATTACTCAAGCAAAAAGAAGGACAAGTCCACAAGAGAGGCAGACATTCACATTTCTTCTGGGCTGTGAACGGCACTGCAGCTACATTGCACAGTCTCACTGAAGAAAACGGAATGAGCTCTGGGCTTACAGACTCTGTAAAGTGCCATCAACTTTCCAGCTTGTTTGATGAAGACAGAACGCAAAAGTTTCCAAACTTTAGATTTTGGGAAGTAAACTGTCCACATTTAAGTCACAACCAGTGGAGCTCGAAGAAATCTGAGTGACTGAGTTGAACTCTGGCTGCCCCTTTCCTCCCCCAGAGACTCTACAGATAACTCAGACAATTGGCATTCAAATTGAAAAAACTGGGGGGGCGCGACTTTAACCACACTGCTCTGTGCCAAGTGATTTCAGGAAACAAGCCAACAGCAGTGCTGAGATGCTACAGGAACAAAACAAGTCTGTTCTCAGGACAAGCTTCTGTCTGATCATCCCATCCGCCCGCCAGACAGGTGATACTGCGAGGTTTTGTCTTGTATTGGATTGTTTGATGCTAGTGAGTCACCTAAAATCTATCATGTTGTTTTCTTCATGTTATTTCTCCTTCATTTGCTGCCTGGATTTACAGTCATTCATCATTAAGAGATCATGGAGGACATGCAGAGAGCAGTTTGACAAACTCAAGGCAAACCAATACAGCTTTTCAGTCTCTGAGCCTGCAACGTGCTCAGCAAGTACAACTCGAACACCGACTAGCATCACCTGCCTGCTGGGGCAATAATATCCATTCCTCCTCTCTATTAGCATCTCTTTCAAACATCCTGTCCTGCAGGCTGCTTATTTGAGGAAAACAGCCCACAATAACCCAAGTGCTGGGGCAGCCGTGGGCTTGATCCTACCTTTAGGAGAGTGCTCAGGTTTAGGGATCTGGCGCAAGGGGCTGGGCTGGCTTGTGTAATACCGAGCGTGTTCAAAGTCATCTAGGAGAGGCTGTGACCTGCCAAGCACAGTGGAAAAAAAAAAAGCATTGGGAAAAAAACTCAAAGGCATAATGGCGTGTCAAAAGCAACATCTCAGCTGCCTGGTCTGTCCCTGTCAGTTTGATGCAAACTGTGTCTGGCCCAGGCTTTCCACCTGCAGACCAGCTCCTCTAAGCACAGCCCGTTACTGTTTCTGTGGTGAGAAATGCACAGTATTTACTACTTCTCACGGATCGCTTTCATTTAATAATGGTTTCAAGTTGTCAGGAAACAAAGAATTTCCATTATGAAGTTTGATGCAAACCTCACTCAAAAGAGCAACATTTTAAAGTGTTTAATGCTTGCCCAGTTTTAACTCCAGAGTATTTTAATATGATCTCTCACAGACTCCAGCTGCACACCTCATTTGTTGTTTCTTTTGCAAATTCAACAAGAATTTCCAGGCTCATATCTGGATTGGAGATCAAAGCCACCAGGGTCACTTCCAGGGTTCAGTCACTCATGAGGAGCACCAGGCCAGGGTACCAAGTGATTCAGAAGCAGCACCGGGCTACAGCATGTTCCCACGAGCTCTGGGATGAGGTACCCCAAAGCACAACATACTTGGTCTCATGGGGGGTGTCCACATGCAGAGCGGAAGCAGTGTACAGGGCTTAACTGGGAGCAAGGACCCAAGGGAGCAGCTGTGCAAATGCATCGTGATTACTCCTTCCTGCCCAGAGATGACATTTGGTTTCACATCCCCAGAAGCTCTTTAACCCTCTCAATGTTTCTCTGCCATTTAACAAATGTCACTGCACAAGCTCATCAATCTCCATCAGCACCAAGCAGGGAGACCGATATGGACAAATGCCATGAGCACAGCGAGTGACGCATGTCACCAAACACCTCACGAGCTCTGTGCCCTCCATCTCTTTTCAGTGCTAAAACCTCTGCTCTCTACCAAGCCCCTTGTGGGTGGGTCAGGCTGGTCGCCCCACAACTCCTCCCCAGAACTCAGCTTCTGAGCAGCTTCCCGACTGCATTTCTCCATTTTTACCAGCCAGTTCAAGCTCACCTTGAAGACCTGTCGCCTTTGTGTCGCTGAGTTTCAGGCCCTTCTTTTGACCTTGAGCGCATGGACTCGCTTGCATCATGCTGATGGGAAGAAGAAGGGAAAGCAGCTCATCTGTGTGCCTTGCAAGACACCAGCCAGCGCATCGAGGCTGCCACAGCTCCACGCAGACCTTTCATGCTCAGTTTATACACACAACTAACTACAGCCAGACACGTGCAAACTGCAGTGTCAGGACTAGTTTCCAGTAAATGAAACTCACCCTTGCTGAGCCAAATTCAATTTTTGCTCTAAATATGAGACAGCACTGGGGGACCTGTCCTGAAGCTGGGGTCGAACGCAGTCAGTGTGTAATGACTGTGCACATGGCTGGGCTGAGCAAGAGGGACCAGCTGCACACAGCTGTGCTCCTGCACCCACTCAAACACAGTAAGGAAGCTGAAAACATCAGAGCTACCTCCAGCAGGCCCCAAGATTAACACAACACCCCGTTTAGCACCTTACCAGTGCAGACCATGAAATCTGTTTCCTATCACCTTCCACATTGGCTAGCCAAGTCTCTGTAGTATTACTCATACAAAAACCTAGGCTTGATACACTCAATACTTTCATTATAGAGCCAATTTTATTATGAAGCAGAGTGACAACTGGAGCAGCTGCATTGTCCTTATACCTGTGGTGCACAAACAGAACCAACTACTGCTTTTATTGCTACAGTCAGAATTTCAGCAGAGGGAAGGTCCTGCACCAGGAGGACTGACAGTGGTTGAGGGAGGCCACAAGGCGCTGTGACATCCAGTGCCAACCTCCAAGGCCAGAGCCCAAGGCTTACCTTACTTGAGGCTGAAGCCAAAGAGCATCTAACCAAGGAGGTAGCTCCAAAAGGCTTGGGAAGCAGCTGAATAACAGGCAGCAAGACCCTTTGGATGCAAGAGTCTGCATCATTCCTTTGGCTCTCACCACACACCCTCACCTCCCTCTGGAAATGGGAATAACATTATAGCCTTTATTTGTGGAGCCTCCTGAAGCTTGACATACCTTCCAGTCTTGATCATGCCTCCTCTTTTCAAAGGAAGACTTTTCTCTCTCCTTCCCTTTCCTGAAAGCCTTTTTCTCTTCGGCCATCAAGAGTCGGGCAATTTCCTAGAAGGGAAAATGCAGAGTGTGTGTCAGACAGTTTTACTGCTCTTGCGGGTTTGAGTTACTTAAACCCTTTCCTATGGACAGCTGCTGAATGGGAAGGGTGCAAAACCAGGATTTCATCCATCTGTGATCAGAAATCAAGTGACAGGGCAGAATTAAGACTGACTACATGCAGCATGCCCAGTGGATCCCTGATTTGCAAGAACTGTGTTTGCAGAGCCTTTCTGCCCTTTATCCCTTTTCCTTCAATGGGGGCGGGGGCTTCATCTCGCAGCATCTCTGATAGTCTCCCTTGGGGCTCAGTTACAAGAGATGTTCTCACACATCCATGAACTTCCTTCCTCTGCCATGGTTGCAACAGGCAGCACAACTCCCTGCCTGGCCAGCCTGAGCATATACATGAAAACCAGCTAGAAGCAAACCCCACTGGAGCCCTGAGCTTCCCCTACAAGGAGGGAAACGAACAATCAGTGGGTCAGAGGCGACAAGTGGGGTTTAGCAGTTTCCACAAGTAAAGGAATACTGCAAACATTTGACTTCTTGCTCACCTCATCTTGGGCTACTTGAGCTGCCTTCTGATCTGCCTCGTTAGCCTGAAAAAAAAAAAAGGGGGGGGGGAGCGGAAAACAGGGACAAAAGAGTAACACCTCTGCATTATTCATACCCATTAACCTACTGGGCATGGAAAGTAGGTGCCCATAAAAATACGCTAGCATCCTCTCCAAATATACTTAGCTACCTCAATACTTACCTCACAGCCCAACATCAAATTGTCACTTCAGCTTTTCAGCTGAGTTTTGCCCTCATCTATCTGCCAGGCCACACCACAACACGTTGCGCACCCTCCTCCCCCTCTCGCTCTGGCCTGGGCAGATAGATGGGCGCTGGCCTGTCTCACTTCTGGGCTGACCACACTGACTACAGGCCATCTTTACCTGCCCGGAAATGTTCATTTAATATCTCTCTGCTTTGATCATTTAATTTTTAGGCGTTTATTTGAGAAAATAGGGCTCTACTTGCTGGATGCCAGTTGTCACTCCATATGTGTGTGTATGGGAGACAAAGGTAATTACCCGAATGCACAGTAGCAAGAGCTTAGGTCTTAAAGTCACTACCATATATAAAAGGTTTACAAATTAAAGCTGTCATCGCTGGCTACCTTAGTTCCTTTGAGTTGACTAATGCATCCTCTCTACTTACCAGGAGCTCTTCCTCCTGCAGCTTCCTAGCAATCTCTGCATCAGACAACTCCTGTTCCCTTCGGGGTGTATCATACACGGCTTGCTTCGTCCCCCTCAACTTAGTGCCTACAGAATTGTGAGAAAAAACAATCAACTCAATCATTTTCCAAATACTTTGGTAAGGAAATCCCCACCATCTCCTCAGCTACCTGCAAAAGACCCACTCAAGGGAACCAGAGACGATGACAGAGTACCTGCCAGGCAGCTGGTTTGAGACTACCTTTAGCTAAGGTGCAGCACGCACCTCTGCAAACAGAAATATCTGATACACCATGTCTTATATGACAAATGCAACTATATGGCAGAAGAGTCCATGTCCCTTGAAGCAGTCTTTGCTGACACAGTGATGCTAGCAAAGGAATTGTAATTTTTCACACTCTGCGTTGATACAGATACACTGGCAAAACCGGGCAGAGAGCAGCCCAACATCTGTTACAAGCCCAGCAGAGTCTGTGAACACACCACTGGAGCAGCACGGGCTGCAAAAATTGCCTGGGACAGGCTCACATGAGGTTTCAGACAATTTCTTCCTTGGGCTGACCCATGAATTTTACAATTCAGTGAGAAAACAGCCAAGTAAACATTTCTGAAGTTCATACAAGGTTCAGTTCTTCCTTTGAGTACAGAGTTTTATTTGTTTATTTATTTTAAAGTTAAACCATCTCCAAGTGATTTAAAATGTTGCATTTTGAGAGTCTCTCCATAGTCTTATTTGCACCAGGCCATCAAAGGAGTCTCACTGTATCCCTGTTATAAAATGCAATACTTCGCTCACGCACAATGAATGCCTTCTCCTTCCATCTGCAGTCTGAACTGTATTGTTCAGACATCTCAGACATCTAAATGAGCTTTCTGCTTTATGTCCAAAGTATACAAACACTCCAGATATCTGTCTCTTCCGCCTCAAACCCAGAAAGTTTTACTCAAAACTTTGATGCCTCCAGCTACACCATTTACACATTTATTATAGTTACCTGTTACATTTTACTGGGCCACCTATCAGTTTCCTTCCCATCTCATAAGACCAAGGGAAAAACATGAAGTAACCAACTGACCTCGAAAAACATTCTGTGCATCTACCAACAAACTACCATCATATTCCACCAAGACTTCAAACTGCAGAGGGCCAGAGACCTCATGCATCAACCCAGAATAAAACCGTGGAATAGGAAACCTTCTACAGGTATTAAAGGAGGTGTGTGGGGTTTTCTGCTTTTTGTTTTGTTTGAATCAACTGGTCAATGATCTTAAGCAATTAACACCCCTTTTGCAAACCATCTCAGCATAAGAAGAAAACTTCAGCTCTGGCCTGTTACGGTTAAGCCTGACCTGGCCTTTCCCAGCACACTTTGATCAATCCAAGCTGCGAAGAGCTGCAATCTCTGGCCAGCACAGAAACTCTGGCAAAAAGCACCAGCTTAGTAAGAGTTAAATTATCCAGAGTGCTTTCAAGGTCAAGGTAAACACAGTTTTACCCCGCTGGAATGAACAACAGCATGGCTGACAGGCCAATCCTGTACAGCATTACCTCTATGAAGAATAAAAGTAATTTCCAGGAATTGTTTGCTGGCCAGCCAAGGCTGAGCTTCCTTCACACACTGATCAGTGCCAGGCTTCACTTGCTCAGAAGACAACAATAAACGTTACTTCCACATCACTTCTGCCCACACTCAGGAGAACACGAAGCCCACCATGACCATGGCCCACCGGAAGAGGATGTGAGCTTCTGGCTATTTTGACTCATTGTGATGGGATACTGAGTCACTCGGACACACATTGTATCGGGGCAAATCACGACCTACTGATTGTATATAAAGACCTGACTAACACCTTCCACTTCCCCAAAGAAAACTTTCACATGATGAAGACAAAGAATAATTCTCCCAGCATCTCCAGAGACTGACACGCATTATCATCCCCACCTTATCCAAGTGAAGACCAGTTAGATGGCTTAAGGCACAAGTTTCCCACACTGCGACAGACATAGATCCAAGTCTCTAAACTCCTACTTTCACTAAGAGACAGGTCACCCTCACCCCCAGTGTGGTTTAAAAGCAGAAAGGTGGATCCGGATCTTTAAAGCCCACCAGTCCCCAAGTATTATAGAGCAACAAGAACTACACAGGTACATGTTTCCCAGAAAAATCCACTTGTACAGAATTTGACAAGAACCCCATCTTAGAAACAGGGTCCAGTCAGACACCGACTGAACTTTGCCTGAAGAGAATTGATTTTGTTGCCAGCAGTGTTTTCAATAAGAAGTGGATGGAAATTGCTGGCTTGTTAGTGCTTCAGCAAACTGTCCTCACTTACAGCCCTGCAACCCAAATCAACAAAATACAAGTGTAATCATAACATTTGGGTTTTTTAAGTTGTTTGGTTTTTTTTTTCCCCCTCCTGTGCAAGGAGACCACAGCACAAAATATATAATGAAAACAAAAGCTGGTTGTTGGTTGCTTGATTTTGGGGTTTTTTTTGTGTTTGGTTTTTTTTTTTCCTTAAATGCAGGATACAAAGGGCACCATTTCCAACAATACCGTCTCATTCATCCTCTCTGATGCCATGGAACATGTCAGGAAAGAAACAGAGCAAGAACATTAATGGATAAGAATAATCTCACTAAATAAGGAAGAAACCTTGGCAGGATTCACCATGTACACATTGCAGGTGGGTATTAGAGATAAGCATCTTCAAAGGAAACAATACAAATTTCAGACACCAGGATGGGGCGCGCAAAGGTCCATCCTCACACGTACGTACACCTTCCCCATCACTTGGTTACCTGAGTCTCGCTGGCAGTCTCCAACCTTCCCCTGGGTCATAGCGTGTGGGGAGGGGGAACGTCTCCTGTGTCCTGCCCTTTTGCAATCTCTGTCCTCGCCCCTCCTACGATCATCTCTAGATTCAGCATCATGAAGCTTCTCGTCATGCACCATCCTGTGTGACGAGTGGCCCTGATGACGAGATTTGTGTTTTTCAGGGTGCACCAGCTGGCTGCTGCCCCGATGCCAGGTCTCCTGTCCAGCCTCCAGTTCCACGTCAAGAAGAGGAAGGTGTTTTTCTCTGTCTTGCCTTGTTGGCTTTCTGCTGCGCTGCACCTGGTCTGCGAGTCTATGCTCTGACTCCAGGTCAAGACTGAGAGGTCTCCAAGCCTTCTCCCTACCGGCTGCTCTCCTCTCCCGCAGCTCCCAGCTAGTGTTGTGGTCACAGGCGCTGCGCTCAGCCTCTCTTTCCAGGTCAAGGCTGGGATTTCTCCTGGACCTTCCCTGGCTGGCTGATTTCCACTCCTGCCGATGGTCGTTGCTGGCCTCACTCGGTCGAGGAGACCTCCGAAGATCCTCTGAGGTGGAATGTTCGGAGGCACCGGCGGACAAAGGCGAGGGCGCTTGTCGGTGCTCTCTCTGCCGGTGCGTGCGCCTGTCACCACTGCGTGCCCTGCGAGGCTCAGAAACCTGCTCTCTGGGGTCACCCCAGGGGTGCTCTGAGGAACGGGGGGACAAACAACGAGCAGGTTAGTGCTGCGGGGGTTAATGGTGGTTCAGCGAGGCCAGACTCACAGCATGCAGATGAGGGAGCTTGATGCAAGAAGCTGGAAATGCAGGCAAAGTATGACAGGATCAGAAAGAAGAATAACAGGGATATAATGCTTGCAGGATATAACGGGAACAGAGTGAAATGGCAGCCTGGCTAGTAGCAGGGCAGCACGGGACGCAATGGGATTGGAGCAGAAAGCACAGGTCCTGCCCGAAAGTGTGTCCAAGCACCTCCTAAGACAAGGACAAGCCAATATGGAGATGAAGGACTTTTAATGATGCCATTGGGGCCGAAAAACAGCCAGCAGAGCAGCTCGTCTCCTGGTGATATGTCACTGCTGCAGGATACTGAAACCACCAGAGAAAGGCTTGCAAAAGGAGGGCGCAAGATGCAGGTGAGGCTGGGAGGCAATGGGAGGGCCAAGCAGAGGGTCAGGCTGGATCCTGGTTTATGAGCACCGGTGCCTTGCCCTGGCTTCAGGCACAAGGTTCTTCATCAGAAAAAACAGCCTCACCTAACTAGGGGGAAGACCCACATAAAGCAGAAGAGAAAGAGACCAGCAGGATGGGACTTTTTTTTTCCCTAAAAGCAAGAACAAGATGATGGATAGCTGTAGCATCCAAATATCTTCCAGCACAGACTGTCATGTATCTCTTGCAGACCCAGAAGTTTCTGGGCCCAGACTGATTCATTGCCTACATAAAAGTTTACGCTCTGACTGCAGAGAGGGCTACAGAAATTTAAGGGCAGGATAAGACTTCACAAAACCCAGGCTCCTGACCTCAGCAATGTAGCTGGAAAAGCTGCTTACTCAGCAACTTGGTGGGGTTGTTTCCTCTGTGCTTTCCAGAAAGCAGGTGGAAATTTTCTTTGCTTTTAGTTTCAGTAATAAACCTGACACAGCTATGAGGATGCAGCAGTCTGCCTGTATACAATCTGCTGATCAATTTATTTTCCAATCAACCTATTTGCTAAGAAAAATCATTGCCCTTAGTGAACTGTTATCTCTACAGCAGCTTTTCAGAATGAAGGCGTATTTCTGAAGAAAAAAAAATTTCCTTGAAGCAGAGGCTGATTTGAAACAGAACTATACAAAAAACAAACCAAAAAACAAACCAAAAAACCAGCAGTGTAAGACTTCCCTTCTGCACTGCTGAGAGCTTTTTTTATAGTATCTAAATATATTTAAAATAGATTTCACCGCACACAAACTGCATTGTTTTAATAAATAGCTCTGCTTTCCTTACAGTCATCCAGATTTCAGAAAAAAAAAAAAAAAACCCACCAAAACTGAATGTTCCCTTCAAGTCATTCTATTCAGAAAAAACTTTTTCAGAGCCAGCAAAAATATACGCTACAGAAAATCCACCTTGAAAACAATTCTGTGTTACTTTTATCCAGAACAGGTATATTTTTAAAAATCCAAAAACAGTAAGAGTAACCACAGCAGTTCCTGTTAACTGGCAGTTTTTTTCTGTTCAGTTTTAGATTGTTCATGTGATTTACAGAAAACAAATATCCACTAAAATAATCTAAGTGACTTACTGAACAACGGAGACCAGAGCCTGAAAGCAAGAGTCAGGTTTTGAATGATACTAACAAGGGTCTAAGAATTAATTCAATTTTGTCATTAAGGAAAGCTCAATAAATACAGCAGCAGAGAGCAGGAGATCACGAAAGAGCAAAGCGTGGCCACGCTGGGAAGGGATCGCTGCAGGTAACGCAACCATGCCAGACAGCCCAAGCAGAAGGTTTGCTTTCGGGGTATCTCAGGGCGATTAACTCCTCAGCAGGCACCAGTTCCTGCGGCACCTTCCACAGGGGCCGCGTAAACACTCTTTAGGTCCTGGTGTTACTCTCTCAAGCAGCAAGTGACTGAGTGAACACAGAAATGTTTTTCATGGCACAGACACTTCTGGGAGGAACTCTGCCTTTTTTCATGTGTTTTTCCATTTTTTAAGAGCTCAGATTGCTCTGAAGCAATAGCCCTAATCCACACTCCTCCTGAATGTGGATAAATTTTTATTCAGCCTCAAGACAGACTAAAACCCAAACAAAGCCAGGGCTTTTTTTGTTTAAGTTCACAAGTAATGAGGATGATACAAACCAAGGATGCTGAAGCCTAATCAAATGGTGCCCAAGTATTTAAGAGGTTCCAGATCAATAGACTAGTGATCCAGGCATCAAAATCCACTCCAGTCCTTTCTACTTTTTAAGGAGTGAGGATCAAGAGCAGCACTACTATGTACAGTCAGGCAAAACACCTTTTACCTCACCTCCGAGACTACAGATCATTGCAGAAAGAAAAATTAGACCCCCAAGATATCCTGCTCTGCAAATCCACACCACAGTCTCAGTTCAGAGAGTCACAGGCTTTTGTCAGCTGATTTCTGTTATAAAAATCCATCCTGTCCTACCATCTCTGCATGACAACACTATTACCTCTATTTTATTTTTTCAGGGACTTGTGCCATTTAATTCTGAAAAACTGAAGTGTGGGTTGGCCATCAAGATCAAAGTCCTTCCCACCTCTGTACATGTAGCAGGATTTGTGGTCATGAAGTTTCCACTTGGTTACTGTTTTGCACTTTGTGCTTTGTGTTTTCTTTGCCATCCTTGAACTTCTTCCCAATTGAAACTAACATACTTTGTGTAAGTTCAAATAAAAGACATTTGAAATCACCAATGGCATTGATGTTAAAATGAGAAGAGGTTTGATCTTCATCTTCACAATCTGTTAATCAAAAGCAGCCTGTTTCTTTCCCAGCATAGTTTTTTTTGAAGAAAGAACACAAGAACCACCACCAGCACACAGCAAAGCCATCCCCAGATTGCTCCATAATTAAACACACCCTGATTCTCTCCTCCCAATTCAAAGGTCTGTATTCAATCATAAAAGCCGACCAAGAGAAAGCAATACAGCGCTGTGGGTCATATCTTTTCCACAGTGTACAGTCCCAGATGATAATCCCAGCAGAGACATTCTGTGGAGATGACCTGGTTATTCAGTAAGTCATTCAAAGCGGTTGTGCTAATTTTAATGCTTGGATACACACCTGCAAGGAGTTATTTTTGAAAGGCTGTTCCACAAACCAGCATTTATTCCTTTACACACGTAGCTGTGCCGGCATCACAGATGATTACACGGAACTGTTTCTCTTTGAATCCAGGCGTGGAATTGTGTCTGAATTTCTCCCCCGCACGCTTGCGGTGTTACAGAGAAGTAACTGGCTTATCAGTACCATCAGCTACTGTCTTTTTCCACAAGCCCTTTCAAAACATGCATGCGTGGGTGCGCTTGCATATACACACACCACACACCCTATCCCTGTCCTTTAGGCCATCTTCTAGGACATCAAAAATTATAAAATTGTGTTCTCTACTTTTTTTTTTTTTAATATTTACTGATTCTAGAATAAAAGCCTGATCCTGACCCTGGAAACTGATGCAATGCTGCAATGCTGAATGCAGGACTGTAGGATAAGGAAAATCTCCTAAACGGAGTTGCCAGATCACCGGGTTCACCTATACTGCCATGATCTTGATCCTTTATCTAGCAGAAACGTACCTCCATTTTCTGCATAATAGCTATCTTCATAGACTGCGTGTCCCTGGGATTCTGGGTAGTGCTTCTTGCGCCTTTTTTCTTCCTGCAGTTCTTTCTGTTGTAGGAGGCGGGCAATGTCCTGCAGAGATGGAAGAAAATAGACATTACCTTACCCCCCCAAAAAATATCTCCAGATTCTTTTATTCAAATTCTTTATTCAATTATAAAAATCCTGATAGTTCAGTTTTTCAAACATGGCAATGACAGGGTTACTCTCAAATTCAACCCCTGGGCTGGATAGGGCTTCCAGCTTAAGTGTTTGACACAAGAGACCGTCTCAGCAACCAGTATCCAACCTCACCCAGGCCCACCGCGGAGCTTCCAGTCCCATGGCAGACTTGCAGGTCCCTGTTCCACCTGCACACAAGCCTGCAAAGCCCTAATGGCCAAAGCACAGCAGAAAGGACTGCGTGTGCAACCTCGGGCTTTCAGCAAGGATTTGGAAGTCACACAAGCGCACACCCACTCACATGAGTGGGCTGGACCTCCCCCCTGAACTCCACCACAGAAAGAAAAACACAGAAGCAAAGCCTGTCTCCAGCTGAAGGCACTTTGGACTGGAAGGAGTTCCCAGAGCAAGTCATGAACTCACTTCAAACCAGCTGTAATTTACAGGGACAGTAGGATGCCAGGCAGGGAAATGCATCAGTTTGACAGACAGAGGCTGAAGGAAAAGAAAATCGAAAGGGATGTTAGGAATAGAGGCACAAGGCAGGAGCGCTGCGGGGACTGCAGCCGTTTATCTTCTGTCGCAGTTTTGGTAGATACGCCAAAAAGAATAGCACTCCATTTTCCTAATTGGTTTTCTTTTGAGATGACTAATGGATCAAAACGGCCTAGCAATAGCAAACAGCTCCCTGGGGCTTGCTCATTTGGGGCCCAGAAGCTTATGAGTCAGTGGAGCTAGTCTGAAACTAGGAAGAGAAGCTGGAAGACACCAGGAGGGCATGCTAGCCCTTTGGATGCTATTCGTTTAAGCCTCCCTAATCCTCAGGATTTTTACAGAGCCGTGCATGTAAAGTGTACATTGCAGGCAGGAAAGGCATCACTGAAATGCAAACTAAGAGCCAACACCCTCGCGAGCAAAGCCAGCACTGGAGGACATGGGATGGGTGTTCAAGTACAAACTATTATTTCAGGATTCAGATCACATCTGCTCAGTAACCAGCTTTGTGGAGGACCTGGGGATGCCACAGGCTTTTTACCGGAAAAAAAAAAGAAGAATTTCCTTCCCCTGACAAGGTTAAGCTCTCCTAGCAAGTACAGTAAGTCTATAAATATATGGGCTTAAGCACATTATTTCCAGAACCGAGACAGCTCAGGACTTGTAAATCCACACAAACCATTTCTTACAAATTGGACTTGTAAGCAGGTAGGCTTAACGCTTCATTTAAAAACCCTGCACACTAGACTGGGTCTGCCTCAAGCACAGCGCTGGCATGACTCCGGTACCACTACTGATACCGGAGAGCTATCACATACGCTGGGCAGCTACTACACCCTCACGTGTGACAAATACAAGACTAGCCCGGCACGTGGCCAGTACCGGTGTAATACAGAACGTCCTGCAGGGTACGTGTATAGATGCTGTGCCGAGGGCTACAGAAGGGGCTCTGACGTTTGTCCCTCTGCCAGGTGACAAACCTCTGGGGCACTGCGCAGCCTCACTCGCGTTGCTCAGGCTCTGCATCAACACAGAAGCCCATCCAAAAGAAACAATGCTGGGGGGCACTCCGGAAGGAAAGCAGGATCAATTCAAGCTCTCCAGAAGTCCTGTTGCAAGGATGGGCGGTAGTGCCACACGCCGGTACCAGCTGTAGCCTAACTCAGTCCACAGCTATGTTTCAGCCACACTTGGGAACTTCCCACATACCAGCAGGAAGATAAAGAATATTTATGGCTTCTCCTCATTGCTTTGAGCCACATTCATTTGAAGATTGCTCCCAACAGCACAAGATGGTCAGCACGCTGGTTTGACAAGTTGCAGGGACTTGTTGTCAGACTGCTGACATCCCAGCAGCTCTCTACATAAAGCAGGAAGGAAAGGTGCAATTCGCACAGCCAACATCAGTACTATTACATCCCCTTCACCTTCCCGATAAAAATGAGACAGATGGTCACATTTATAGCACAAATCCTTTAGCCGGAATGTTCCTCCCACCCCCATTACCACAAGCTCCTCTTGGAAGCCCTTCCACAACTGCCTGGGCAGCCTTTCAGTGCTTGCTTGGACTTAATGGTATAAGAAGAAAATGAGGTCTTGCACAAGCGAACTGATGCATTTGTCAGGTAAGGACAGATTCTTACTTCAGGCTCTTCCAGGAAACACAGCCTTGTGTTCACGCATGCCAGTAGGTGCCTCTTGAGCATCTTAAGACTACTCAGACTTCTCAGGAAACTATCTCCAATCAAAACCGGGGCCACACTCCAGGCTCACACAGGTGTTCCTTCACTCTGTGGCTTTCTTAAATACCCAATCTGACAGGCTGACACAATAAATTGATCAACATTTGAACACCATGGACAAGCCACACTGCCCACTCTCAAGCAACAGCAGCAGAGCAATATTTTGCAATAACAAAAGGAATCTGCTAGCAAGAAACTGCATCAGGGTTTTCAGGCTGTGAAAGACTAAACTGAAGATGAAAGAAGGTAATGAAGAAGCCAGAGACGGATGGCTGGGCTGATGGTCCTGCTGGAGTCTTTGTACCAAAGACCAAGCAATCATGACCCAGGATTCTCCCAAAAATAGCACCTGTCTCCTTGCATTTGAGAAAGCAACCAGATCTCAGACTACATAAACAATTACACTTTCCTACACCAGGGCGATGAACACCTCAACAAGACCCACCTATTATTTGCCCTCTTTGTTAGCAAGGCCACTGGCATCAACAACCCTTTGTGACCCTTGAGCGTGAGGACTACGACTGTATCTTATTCCTGCAAGAGGACTCCCCGAAATCTCTGTGCATACCGAGATCTGCGAGGGCCGGGACTGACACCATGCAAGCCAACTCCTGTGGCTAATGACCAAGAAATGCCTGCACTGAAAGGGCTGCTACAAATAGCCCTGCCATCCTGCAGCTTTAAAGGTTACCTCGTCTTTTTCCTCTTGCCTGCGGCGCTGCTCCGCTTCAAATACCAGCTTCACTTGGATTTCCTGAGCGATCTCGCAGTCCTGTCGTTCTCTAAAAGGCAAGGAGACAAGGATTATAGAAAGCTAAAGTCACAGGCATCAGTCAGCCTGGAGAAAGGGATAAAAGAGCTAAAGAACCCATCTGATTTGCACAGAAGAATTGTTACTTGGTATTAATGCAGAGCCTATGAATCCTCACCAGGGACCAGGACTCCCTGTACTTACTACTGGCCAGATTTAGAAAAACATTCACAATGAAAGTATAAAGCAAGAGAAAACAGATTCATAGGCAGTTTGTTAAGAAAAAGTAGGAACCATAAGATAGGGCAGGCCAAGGTAGCGCACAGGAGTCTCTGCGAACAGTCTAATTCTGCTGAAGAGTTTTTGTACACGTGTGCCAAAGGAGGGCTTTAGGGGTTCCGTTAACACAGGCATTTCTGGGAAGTGGTTTTCATTGAAAGCCAAGAAGGAGAAAGTGCAAAAATGCTGACAGCAAAATGCAGTACATAGGCCAAGCAGAGGCTGGAAGTGGCAGTTCAGTTATGAATGAGAAATGCCGCGGAGGTGGACGAGACCTAAAAGCAGAACCGGTGCCAAGAGGCAAGAGAGCGACATGTGTCAAAACGAGGGGCGAGGGAGCCATCGTCACAGTACCAGTGCAGATGCAGGAACAATGCCAGATTGCATTAACTGTAGACAGAGAGATGCTGGAGACAAGAAATGAGTTTCGTCTGTGCGGATAGACCTGGAAGGTCGTATTTCAGGGATGTCATACAGGAAAGCATCTGCAAGAATTGTGCCATACTCAGCTGCACACTCTGATGCTTGGCAAACAGGCTGGAACGATGGCCAGGGGTTCCTTAGGGCAACCCAGAAAAGGGCTGGGGGATTTAAGAAGAAAGATTAAGAGCTCTTTTTTTCAGCACTGTTGAAATTGAGGCAAAGACTAGCTCTGAACAGGTCAGAAAAATCAATCTAAGCTATCTCTGCAATTGACACTACTGAAAGGCAAGGCATAGAGGGAGATGAGGATGGGAACAGCAACAGGCAGAGCTTGCTTTATTAGAATACAATCTTTTGAAGAATATGCTGGCAATGATCAGCTAGGCGATGGGAGGACTACCAAGAGCATGTTATGGAAGTCAAGCAAATATTTCAAGAGAAGCAGGTTCAGCTACGTCAAAGTTGTGCTGTGTGGGCTGGAGCAACTAGTTCTAGGCTTGAGCAAGGATAAGGGCATAAATGACCTAGCGAACTTGGAGGCAAAGGACTGGAAGAGAGTCTATGACATGAGCAGAGGAAATTAAAATAGTAAGTGCAGACAACCACTTTTGGTAGCAAAACAGAGAGAAGTGGCAGGGCTGGAGCAGTCAGTGGCACCACAGAGCCTTCTTTTACAGAAACTGAAGAAGAATGAGAGAAACAGAAAGAGTAGGTATGTGGCTTAGAGCGGGCAGGAAGGACACTGCAACAAGAAGAGGGTTTAGAGGACAAATGCCACCAAGAAACAACTAATCTGTCATAAGGAAGGAAAAGGAACATGCAGCGAGAGGGAAAAGAAGCGTCTTTATTTCTGTCAACTGCTCCTTGGAAGCACACCTGCAACTAGGTACAGCATGTTATTTATATGAACCCCAAGTCAGTGTCACATGACATTTTCTTCCCTTTCCCAGACCACCACACTCTCAAACACTTGTGCATATTCATGAATTAACCCACATCTAGAGATGTCCTGGAAGGCATCCATAAATTTCAGTGTTTGAAGGGCTGGAGTTACCAATAGGTCAAACAACTTCAGACATTGGTTTCTTTCATCCAGGTAATAAAACCTGGCACTTCGTGTCTGTGTGCCTACGTGCGTTTCACTTGAGTCCAGGGAGAGACCTGTTCAAAGGCACATGAGCTCACGCAGCCGCAAATCTAGTTCTTGAACTTGCCATATAAAAAGGGACCTTGGCAAACTGGTACCAGCAGGGAACCACAGCCCCCAGCAAAACAATAGCTCAACATGCAAATTCTGAGGAGCGGACCGTCAATGGGCTTAAGATAGTGGATCCCTTACGACCCCAGCCTCAGAGGACATGAATCCAGGTAGAAAATAAGTTTGAAAGGTCAGACGTATCAAGGCGTTGCACATCTCCGGTTCCCCCAGCACCTGTGAGCAGAGCTAAGGTGCCAAGTTCATCAGCACCAACTGACTTGCTAAATGCTTAAAATATATCTTACTGCAGACAAACAGGAGACAGAAACAGCTAATAGTCTTTCAAAGCCAAGTCAACAAGGTCACTGCCTCTCCATTTGCAGCAAAGAACACTAGAAGTAATGCAAACCAGAAGCATTTTCTTGTTCCAGATGACATGCATCTTGGAATACACCGTATCAACCTCTAAGAACTACTGAACAGCAACAGAGGATTAGATTTTGGGTTTTATCGCTCAGTGGTAATTAAATACTGAGACTTGATTAGTTAGTCAACATAAGCTAGCATTTCAACTTGACCGAGCGTAAGAAAATAGGTTAAAGAGCTTTGACAGCTCTTCTTGTCCTTCAGTTTCTTTAGTGTGAGTTAAAACGCCCATCAGTCCCCAGAAATCAGCCAGAACAACATAAATGTCACCATCCCTGAACATCACACCTAGATGTCCCTCATTCCTGGGCAGCTAGGAGTGTTAAGAGTGTCAGGGAAACTCTACACCAGTTTAGGAAAAAGAGGGAGGGGAAAAAAAAGTCAGTGTGATCAGAAAGCTCCCATTCGTGTTGGCTGTAGCAACTTCTTGTTGCCAGATGAGGAGCAAAAAAAAAAAAAAAAGGATTTAAGGGAACCGTTCAAAGGAACTGTTCACATTAG